CTCTTTTTTGAGATAACCCTAACCAATTCACTACTTTATCTTCCCACCACAGACCTCTAGCCAGCTCCTTTTTGGATTCCTGTATTTCTCTCCTGAGAAGTCCTCTGCTGGCAGATTTTTCTCACCAGAATTATTTGTTCACACTCCTGCTAAATAGTCACCTTAGAAAACTGAGGTCAAAAGCTGGTGGTGGCACATGCCTTTAAACCCAGCATGGGAGGCAGAGGCAGGAAGATCTCTGATTTCAAGGCCAGCCTGGTCTACAGATCGAGTTCCAGTATAGCCAGGGCTACACAGAGAATCTCTGTCTCAGAAACAAACAAACACCAAAAGCAAAAACCAAACAATAACAGCAACAAAACAAATTCCAGAGCCAATGCTGAAGCTTAGTGGGGAGTATCTGCTGGCTGGTCATGGTTTCATTGCCAAGAACTAAAAGCAAAGGGGAACTAAGAATTACTTTCGAGAAGCTGAGTAAGATGGGCTCTTAGCTACATGAGTGAGTTAGAGGCCAGCCGGGGGTAGGGGACTCTTTCTCAAGAACAAAACAACTTTTTTTTTCTAAAGTCATATTTAGTATAATGAGAAATATTTATGACATATTTAATTTAAATACATTTAAAACCACACATGAGCCAATTATTTAATAGTTATTTCTGGAAAATAGAGTTATAGATAATTTTTTTTCTTTGTGATTCCCCTCTCTCCCAAATTTACAACAGATTACAGGAAGTCTACACAGTCCTAGCCTGACTTTATTCTCACACCTCCCAGAGGTGGGGAGCAGATCAAGTTCTGAGTGGATGCTTCATTAATATGAACACAGTCAAATCAAGGACCCGGATGCCTCAGACCCATGGGAATGTCAAAGCCTTCCTCAGGTCAGGTTCAGGGAGGTATTGAAGCCATCCTCTGGTCCATGTACAGACTTTAAGATGGAATCCTGAAAAATATGCTTCTGAAAAATCTTCATCTCTATAGCACCCCAGCCTACAGATTTGGAGAACCTGCAGGTGGGGCTACCTGAAATTTCTCAGTCCACCAGAAAGGGGTTCAGGCAGCTGGGCTCAATCACACCATGTATCTTCCTGCCAAACTCCCAGTTTAGGCTTAGGCCTGCTCCTGCATCTGGCTTTCTGGGGACCATGAAGCTGTGGCCATTACTTAAGGTCAGAGTTCAGTATGCTATAATGAGCCATTAAGGATGGACTCAGCAGAGGCAAGCTTTTAAAGCAGCAGGACCCATAGCCAGCAGGGGTTATATTGGGTGTACCTTTGTGGGAAATAACTGTTTTCAACTTGCCTGTGGAGGAGACATAACCTAAGTACACAGGAAAAATTTAAGCAACATTCTCTTCACCACCCTGTCTCTGTTAAGCAGCACCTGAGTCTATCCTCAAAGCACTTGGTGATGCTTTCACTTGTCGATCAATCCTGATTTCAAAAAGGAGGGCCACCTGCTGTCTAACCTGACTCCCACAGCTAATTTTCTACACTTCGGTCCAACTCTGAAGAGGCCTTGTGTCTACTGCTTGCTTCCCGACTCATGACGGATATCACAACTGCAGCTGTTGCTTATCATGATCAGCACTGACAGCTGTTTACATGTAAGTAAACATATTTGGGCACGTCTTGAAATAAAACTTTTAAAATTCTGGAATGCTTCACTGTTTCTAACTTGGAGACAGGAGTGGGCAGAAGGGGCCACAGAGTGACAAGGCTGTTCCACGTTAGAGCAACCACTCAGCTGCACTCAGTCTTTAAGCTTACAAAGGGAGCACTTGGAAGTGGAGGGGGGGACCCATGGCAGCAGAAACTGTGGTGGATAGAGTGCGTGTGTGGCACGAGCGCACGAGTGCATGTGTGTGTGATGAAAACCTGCTAGCTCATTTGAACTAGAGAAGAAGCCCAACAGCAGCAGTAAGGTTGCCCCAACTATGCTTCTATAAGCAGTGCTGTAGTGAACACCTCCACTGTCAGGTTATGGACCTTTACAAAGCTCCTAATAGTTCCAGGAGTTCTAAAGGGAGGCTTATTAAGACAGGAATTAAACAACTAGGCAGTGGTGACATACGCCTTTTACCCCAGCATGCAGAGAGGCACGTAGACCTCTTTGAGTTCGAAGCCAGCCTGGTCTACAGAGTGAGTTTCAGGACAGCCAGGGCTACACAGAGAAACCATGTCTAAAAAAAAAAAAAAGGACAGGAAGTAAACAACTCATAAATCTCAGAAATCCCTGAAACACACCAGAGTCACAGGACTTCTCCCTCCCCAAGGTCATGAAAGCAGTAAAGACTGGGGAAGAAAGAGACTCTTTGATTTAAGGAGCTACAAGCAAATCACGGAGAGTGCTTCAATATTTTAGCTTTGAAGAGTTGTCACCCATGCTGGGGTGGGCTTTCTGTGACATGACTATAATTGAGTAATCCATGTTTCTCTAAGTAACCCCAAAAAATGCATTGATTCAGTAAGTTGGAGTTTTGTGATACTTAGCTTTGCATTGGGTAATAAGACATTTGTTCCTATCTCCCCAAGAACAGCAGCACACAACAGTCTCCACTCAGACTTGTGCACAGCAAATATGCAAGTGATCACAAAAAGATCATAAAATAGAATCTATGAGAGAAATCGATGTGAGAGGAGAAAAGAGTAAAGACAGGAAGAAACCGAGGTTTCTAATGAAGTGGTTAGTATGTCAATATTCAAGTTACCTGAGCTATTGCTTAAGCAGCTCATAACCCACAGGTCTGAGGGGAGATTCGGGAATCTAGCAGGCCTTCCATACTTTAGGAAACACTGGAATAAGGATGGCACAGAATTCTAAAGTGACACATGGTAAGGATCGGAGGCAAGCCACTGCTCTTCTACCATGAGATGCTAACCCTTATTTGGAGATCTTTCAAAGTCAAAATCTGTTTTTAGTATCATTATGGTAATACATTCTGGTATACAATAATTCATTACATTCACCTATCTATAAAATGACCTCATAGAAGAATGTATGTATATATGTATGTATGTATGTATGTATCTCCTGGAGAGATGGCTCAGCAGTTAAGAGCACTTTGCTGCTCTTACAGAGGACCCAGGTTTGGTTCCTGGCACCCACACAGCTGTGAGAGCAGCCTTCTCTGATTCCAGGGGATCCAATGCCTTCTTTTGACCTTTACAGGCACCAGGCACTAACATAGCACACATAAATACATAAATAAGCAACGTAAACACTCATATGCATAAAATAAAGTGTAATACAGTAACCCAGATTAGAAATATTGGGTTGTTGTTTTTTTGTCACAGTGAGGGATCTGGTTGGTTTAGCTTCTCATAAGGTGATGTGGCTAACATTGTTCACTTTGTACCAACCACTAGGCTGAAGTTAAGAACACTGGGTCACTTGCTCTGCATACTTCCAGCATGGTTTCAGCACATGAGGAGAAAATGCATATATGAGAGGTGTGCCGAAAGAAATTGCTGTCATTTTCCATTAGCAGATTCTGGACTCCAGAAAGTAATCATGGAGTCGAGTTGTGTTGTTTTCGTGTCTATTTTTTTCCCATTTCCAGAGCACTGTGGATTTCGGTTATCTTTGGGGGGGGGGGTGTTAATTCTCACTCACTTCAAGACCCTAAAACAACACTGTCTCACCAGTACATGACTTATTTCAAAAACGAGTGTTGGATATCCCAGTAGATTTGAATAGGAACGCAACTGGGTTTTTTGGGGGGGTGGGGTTGGGGGTGGGGGGTGTTGAGACAGGGTTTCTCTGTATAGCCCTGGCTGTCCTGGAACTCACTCTGTAGACTAGACTGGCCTCGAACTCAGAAATCCGCCTGCCTCTACCTCCCAAGTGCTGGGATTAAAGGCGTGTGCAACCACTGCCAAGCCGAATGAAACTGTTTTAAGCCTCAGGAAAACACCACTGAATCCAGGAAGCTGAAGAAGCTAAGGTAGTAGGGATAAAACAGGTTTAAGGCCCAGCCTGGGCTACACAGCAAATACTAGGACAGCCAGGATCAGGTAGCAAAACCCTGTCTTAACAATACCTGAAACAAACAATGTATTCTGTAGGGTAAGAAGATGAGTTTTGCCAGTTTGTTTTTTGGGTTTCATTCAAGAATTAATGCATACAGTGGGTTAAAGCCTGTGAAGTAGCCACGGCGGGGCGGTGGTGGCGCACGCCTTTAATCCCAGCAGTTGGGAGGCAGAGGCAGGCGGATTTCTGAGTTCGAGGGCAGCCTGGTCTACAGAGTGAGTTCCAGGACAGCCAGGGCTACACAGAGAAACCCTGTCTCGGAAAAAAAAAAAAAAAAGCCTGTGAAGTGATGACTAGACAACAGCCAAAATATTGAGACATGCCATAGCTCATGGGAATAAATACCGAGGAGGAGGTGCACCCAGGCACTGCCTTAAGGTTCAAGGTGAGGAAGTGGGAGAGAGTGCAGAGGGACCTTTGGAGAAAGCTAAGATACACACACGTACTGCAAAGCCTGTGCAGAGTCGTTCGCACCAGCTTAAGAAGTGCCTTTTCCAGAAACCAATAAAAGAACATGTGTTTTGAGGAGCTGTTTCAACCTGTCCACACCCTAAGCGACTTCCCCACAAAACGGGCAAATCCCGGGCTAAAGTGATTGCCACGCCTTGCGTCGTTGGCTCCTCAAATCCCAGAGCACGTGCCCACCGGGGCTGTTTTAGGAGTGGACACTATGTGGACGCGGATCAAGTTTGGGTCGGATCGACTCCGAATCTGACGGCCCTGAGAGTGGGCTTGGCGGGCAGGTCCGCGGGCAGGTTTTGCAAGGGTCGCCTGCGCGCCCCTCCAGCCCGTCCAGGGTTACGCTGCCAGCTGCGGTGCCCCGCCCAGCCCCACCTCGCCCCACCCCGCCCCGCCCCGCCTCGCGGCCCGGCTCTCACACGGTTACTTGCGTGACCGACCCGGGCCAGGCGGGCTGGAGGACCGCGCGGGAGGAGGGAGTCAGAGCTCGGGCCCGCCCGCTCCTCACCTCCTCATTGGCCACAGGCCGGCGTCCATCACCCCCAGGTGGCGCTCGGATTGGCGGAAAGCTCACTTCTAGAACGAGGAGGGCAGAGTGACTCCGCGGGTCTCCCGCGGCTCCTTTTCTCCTCCCCCTGCTCAACGTCCACCCACCTCTCCCCACCCCCATCACTTCCCCCTCCCGGTGCGCGACAGTGTCCTTAGAAGACTCATTGGGCCAGGGGCGAAGCCAGCCACCTAGCGAGCCCCACCACCATTGGTCTACAATCACGCCCGTCATAGCGGCACGCCCTACCATTGGGCATCGTTTCTGCGCTCCCGCCCCGCCGCCTCCTCCCTCGCGGCTCTCCCCGACCCCCTACCCCGCCCGCCCCGCCGCTCCTTCCCAGTCCAGCTGGGCGGGGACTGCCCTAGGACTCTTTAAAGTCTGTGAGTCACTGCACAACCTATCAATCCAATTAAATGTCTTGAGCGAGCCGAGCGGGCGGTGCTCCCAGCCGCCGGCCGCCCCTGCTCTCGGCTCCCCGCTATCCATGGCTGGCTGGCTGTACTCCTCCCGGTGCGCCCTCCTCCCGCATCTCGCCAGCCTCGGCAACTTCCCCTCAGCCAGCCTCTGCCCCCAGGCCGCCACGGCATGGGCTAGACCCCGAGCCGTTTCTTGCCGTCTCCCGTCAAGTCCGCGCGCGGTCTCGCCCCTTTAGCCCGTCTCGCCCGTCCCCGCCGTTTCCCCGACAGTCAGTCCATTCCTCGGTCGGCTTTCCTCCGCCGGGCAGCGGTGGAGGACCAGCCGGCTCCGTAGGAGCGGGCGCCCCCACCCCGCTCCTCCTCCCACTCCTCCGCGCTCCCACTCGTCGGGATCCCCGTCCCGCACCGAGGGACGCACCGACCGACGTCCTCTCCCCGCGGCCGTACGACCCGCCCGGGGGCTGGACCCGGCGCCCACTTCTTCGCGGAAGGTGAGTACGGAGCGGGGTTTGGGGTAAGGAGGTCTGGGGAAAAAAAAATGTGGTGGCCAGGCCACTTTAGGGAAGGGCAGGGATCAGGTTGTGGCTGGAGGTTCCCGGTCCGGCGTGGATAAGAGGAGGCGACTCCCTCCTTCCCTCTCTCGCTCCCCCCTCCATCCTCCCCCCCCCCGCCCTTGACACCCTCCTCCTGTCTTACTGTACATGTAGGTATTGCCAGACTTCCACCAGCGGGGCATTATGCCGCCTGTAAAATAATTGGTGCTGGCATGCTCTCTGTCTTTTGAATGCCTAAGTGAGCAGTAATAGTCTGCGATGTGATCTGATAGACTGAGTGCCCTGCAGAAAGTGTAAAATGCCTAATGGGGGCACATTTTCCTCTAAATCGAAGTTAACTTTCATTCAATAAAGGCAAAGCAAAAGGTGTTTGTAATTTGAATGCATAGTGATAGAGAATACTGGTTGCCTGGTGGCTTTACTTAGCGCTTTTATTTTGAAGCAATTTTATGGGTTTTCTTCTGAAAGCTGTGAATTCAGTATTAAAGATTATGAAGTCTAAACCTGTTGGAAGATAGCAGGTAAGATGAGAATCCAGCATGATATGTCCACTTCGCTTTTCCTTTGCCCTAGGGAGGCATTGCAACACAGAATTTTGTCTTTCTCTGTCACTGGATGCAAGTGTAGAGCTTTATCTTTATGTAGAGGAGCAGTTTAGAGGTTGTTTCTTTGGGTATATATCTTTTTTGTTCTTGACTACTCTTTAAGCAACGTTATTCTACAGAATTTCTTCAGTTTTAAATTTGGTTTCTCCATCATAAGTGCCTCCAGACTACAAATACCCACCCTTACCTGCTTCAGGAGGGTCTTACTGTATGCATCTTTAATATTTATTTTAAGGTGAAAGAATGATAAGAAATGGTGACTCTGAATTGGCTTCTGAGGTTGCTGTTTAGACTTCAGCAGTTTTAAGTTGATATTACCCTCTTGAAATCGAGTTCTACACTAGTTGTCCACAACATTTAAATTAGGCCAAACCCAACATATTTTGAAATATTAAGGTACAGCAAAGACCTCTTTGTAGCTCATTTTCTACTTCTCTCTCAGACTAACCAGAATAAGTTGTTACTAAATTTAATTTTAAAGAATAGACTGTTCCTGTACTGAAATCTGCCAAGTTGCTACAGAAAGGTTTCTTTTTAAAGAGCAGAAATGTGGTTATGATCAGTCTAAAGTGGTGAAGCTTACAAGTGACTGACATGTAAATGCTGCCTTAAAGAAGTGCTCGCCACCAGCTTTAAGACCGTCAGTGTGTGTTAGGAAGACGACACAGAGCCTTTCTGAATCGTTTAACAAACTTGCCATGTGACTTTTTTCATGAGGATGAAGCCTCAGAGCACAGGGCAACCTGCTGTCTGAATTTGAATTTTGCCAGTATCTCTCCCTCACTGGCTCTGTGACCTTGGACAGATTTAAAATAATCCGGACTGTAGTGGTTTTCTCCAGTTGTTTCTCCAGAAAGATTCCTCTTAAAAAGACCTTCCCTCCCCCAAAGATTAATAGAATGCTTGCCATGGACAGCGTCATCGCTGGAAGACAGGTGTCTGTGTAGAATTTAAGAGTGAAGTCCCAGGGTCTGAAGAGATTACTCAGTTGGTTGTCCGTGTTCTGAGTTCAGATTCTCAGTACCCACAAAAATGTGGCAGCCTTCCTGTCGTCCCAGCACTGGGGGTCGGGTGGGGGCAGAGTGGGTTGGAGGAAAGGACTCTTCAGGCAAACTAGCTAGTTAGACTAGCCAAATTGGCAAGCGCTGGGTTCAAGCAAGAGACTCCATCTCAATAAAAGATGGAGGAAGAATGTAGCAGATACTTGATGTCACCCTCTGACCTCTGTGCACGTGCACTTGCACCTGCAAAGATCCATGAATACTCATAAACATCGCATACCATACACACAGGGAACAGAATGCAGCTCCAGAATCAGGAAGGCTGGGGCAGGAGGATGACCTGAGCCCAGGAGATGTAGGCCACAGGGGGACTTTTTTTTTTTTTTTCTCAAAAACCAACCAACCAACCAATCAACCAACCAACCAACCAACCAAACTAAAACCAAAACAAAATGAAAAGAGAGGGTTCTCAAATCAGGTCTTGAAGGGTCAAGTCTTGGTATTTTCTTTTGCCATTTGGGTCTCCTTAGCCAAGTGACCATCAGTTATTTCATCTCTAAAACGAGAACAGTAGCAGTACCTACTCCATGTTGTTTTGATGGGGACAGATAAGTTAATATGTGCAGAGATGCTGAAGTGTTTGCTATGTCTTCCCAAGGTTAGGTCGTTCTTTGTCTCTTGCCTACAGGTGACTTTTTAAAAAGAAATGTGTTGTTTGCTTTCCTTATTGCACCAGGGAATCAAACCTTGGACCTTGTCTATGTAAAAGTAATTGCTCCACCACTGATCTGTGTTCTTAGCCTCAGTAGGATATTTTTTATGAAGACAATAATCATTGCTGTTAATAAAAGAGGACTTTTTAAAATAAATATTCTCGATGTTTATATGAAACTTTAAAGAAATTCTATTATTTTATTTTTTTATTTTTTATTTTTATTTTTTCAATTTTTAATTTTTAATTTTTTAATTTTTAATTTTTTTTTATTTTTTAAAGAAATTCTATTATTAGAAGCCAGATATGGTGATGCACACCTGTCGGCCAGTAATGGAGCGGTAGAGGATTCCTGCAGTCATAGTACTGCAGAAGCAGCGCCAGGCCGCTGTTCTCTGGCCAGCCAGCTTTGCCTACTTGGCAAGTTCCGCCCAGTGGGAGGCATTGTCTCAAAACCAAAGTAGATAGTGCCAAAGCAATGATACTTGAGGTTCTCTCTCTGATTTCTGCATGTGTGCACATACATGTTCATGCTCACCTGCACATCGGCAATGCAGACACATACACAGAAAGGAAGGAAACTCAGTTATTGGGCAAGACATACTGCATACACCTGTAACCTTGGCACTCAGGAAACTGAGGCCAAATGATCAGAGTTTAAGGGCTAACAGGGACTGTGTAGTGCAACATTGTTTTTGAAAACTGGCTTTAGTTTACTGGATGAGTTGAGTTGTCTACACTCTGTCACTTTGTTTTTTTTGTTGTTGTTTGTTTTTTTTTTTTTGAGATAAGCTCTCATTCTGTTCCAGGCTAGCTAGCTTCAACATGCTTAGCCTCCCGAGTGCTAGGATCACAAAGTGTGAGACACCATTTTTGGCTTTCTTTTATTTAAATTTGCATAGTATCATGTGTCTGCCTCAATTACAAAATCGTTATAGAAATCACATGATTGTCGTTGCCTGTGGTTTTTCTCCTTCACTAAACAGGAAGGTTTGTGAAGGTAACAGTAGCATTTCATCCCTGAGTCCATTGCCTAGTGCCTAGCAAAGCACCTGGCATATAAAGGAGTGAATAACCATGTGCAGGTAATTAAACATGTTTTTCAAATGGTTTATGAATAGTTGCATATACCTTCCAAGTCTGATACGGTATAGAATACTGTTATTTTTTGATTTTTATTTTATTTGTCCAGTATGGTGGCTCACAACTTTAATCCCAGCACTTGGGGGTGGGGGTATTTTTTCTTTTTACTTTATTTTAGTGCTTAGAGAGTAAATAGCATTTATAATTTCTTTTTTACTAATGGTTTTTATTTTGAAAATGAAATTAAAGTACTCTGAAAAGGCACATCTGATATCTTCCTCTGTTACCTGACATGTTCAGGTTTTAATCATAGCCTTTTCTGACTTGTGAGCTTTCTATCACTAAGTTGAATGCTATTCTTCATTAACGTGAACCGTACAAATTAGATTTTGAGTGTCTCAAATGGTGATCAGATATAATTCCCTGCTTCAGAATTAATAAAGAGAACTCATGAGTCTTACATGGTGTCACTTCCTCAAGGACTGAAACTTTGCTTCTGTTTTCCATTCAGGAATAAGACTCTTTCTCTTGAACAGTCCTAATAGTAATTAGCTGCTGAAGTAGCTACAGTAAATGTGTAGTAGGTATGTGGAATCAGTAAATGAAATGATTTTCAGACTTTCCCACATTTTCATAGACGTTACACAATTGGG